CTTTCCCTTTACCGCTGCTCTCAGAATGCTGACAAATTGAATTTTTGTCTTCTCGGAAGTTTATAGTTCGTCCAACCAACACGGATTTCCGTCTGTGCCTAGTTTTCAGCTCAAAATATTCCCTCTCCCCATCTCCAGAAACATCACCGAACAAAATAAGCTCCAATTCAGAGAGCTCCTTATTCCTTCCAACAAAGTCTTCATTTCTAGGAAAAGGGAACTCCTCCTTCTCCACCTTCTCCCTCCATTTATTTACTCTATCCAACACACTTCTCCTACCTAGTCTGGTAGCCAACAGAACAACAGCCTGTAGTATACAGGCCCTCCAGTTCCCATCATATGCCTCCAGCTGCCATTCCAACGTCCTGGAAAGCCCGTCAACTGCTTCTATCCATTCTTTCTCCAAACCACCATACAGCATCCACAACTCACCACCATATTTTTCCCACAATTCCCCCCTTTTCTCAACTATATCCCTCGCAAGACAGTCGCAGGAACTTAAATCAAAGAATATTGGACAGAGACTCTTCTTATCCAAGAAATATTTCAGCTCCTCTATGCTGTAAGAATTACCAAAACATTTTTTTGTTATGATCACAACCCCGAAGGATGATGCATGCATTATCTTCTCAACTGTATCCCGACTGCGAGAATTCCTGCAATGAGCTCTATCAGAAGCAAAACAACTGATTCCATGAAGCTCAAACTCAGCACGAAGCCAATTAGCAAATCTCAGCAAAGAAGGTTTCCGTCCATGGAAGCCTATATAAACATCGCAGTTTCTCAACCTCCCTGCAGAAGAGATTGTAGCTGGTGACCAGGAAAAGGAGTGTTTTCCATGGCTGCTACCATATCTCTTTTGCTTCTCTCTTCGCCCATTTCCATCATGGCTGTAATTAGATGAGCTGCAAAGGCCATTGTTGGGAGAAACAATATTTGAGCTTCTAAAAGTTGTTGTCGGGACTTCAAAATAACTGGATGTATAAAAACTTGGGGTAGGTGAAACTTCTGAAGCAAAATTTTTTAGGTTAGAGATCAATTCTGATTGTTTAAAGCCAGAAACTGAAGCAAGAGTTTCCCTGCTTATAACAGAGCCAGTAGAAGAGCCTGCAATATCTAGCAGGTTTTGCTCTGGTTTAGAAGCCTGTGGTGAACGTGGGGAGAAGAAAGGAGACTGGATTGCAGAGACAAATGCTGATGAGGAGGACGAGAGGTTCCGCGATGTTGACAAAGCAGTAGTATTGGAGCTTTCCTGCAGAAGCTCCATATATCCATCTTCATACACTGTTCTGCTTAAAAATGTTTCTACTCCAATATGTTCCACGAAGGGGAGATCCTCTGGCAAATCAAAATAAAATAACTTATATTAGAATTTTCTGGACACTGACTTCTACATTTCTCTAACAACTGAATTGTTAATGAAATTGTTGGTTAGGTAAATTTACGCTTTCAAAATCTTTAGGAAAATGTGGGATGGATGCTAACAAGAAATAATTGAATTAGGCAGCTACTACAGAATGAGGCTTGTATCATAAATGATTGGAAAAAAAGATTTCTGGGCAGGGAATTTCTTTCATTATAATACGTAGAAACAACCCTTCCAACACCCTTTTATTAGGGTTAGCGAGAAGATGAAAAATTTGTATTGGAACCGTGGATCATTGTATTGACAGAAAATGTGCACAAAAAAACAATAATACGAGCATGAATGGAAAAAAAATAAACTGCGAAGAAATGCCAAAAATAAGAGAACTAAGTAGTTCAGTGAAGTTCACCTTTCTTAGAGCTGAATAAAGAGATGATTTCGACTAGCATTGAAGAAGAATAGAAGACAACAAACTCTTTATTTTTTCTCACTAAATTTCTTCACAGTTCTATGTCTTTAACTTCAATTTAGGGGCGTGAAATCGGGTTCACGGGTCGAGTTCAGGTCTTGTCCGAAATTGACTCGGCTCGAACCCTACTCAAATATTAAATAGGTCATAATGTCTAACCTAAACCGAAACCGCCTTCAATCAACCTGAACCTGACCTGCATGACTAGCTTAACATTAACATAATCACAACTTGGGTCAAACTTGGGTTGATGAGTCAACTCGAACCCGAACTTTTTATGGCATTCATTGTTCGTTCATCCACTTGTCAATGATATCAACTTAGGAACCAAGAAAACCATACATATCACTTGAATTCATCTCCTTGTAAATGCATTTGGCGGTGCAAAAACCAAATAAGAGAAGCTTTAAAGCTGATATTGATTGACAAATATTATAACAATCTAATTCCATTCTCAAAATCTATTGAGATTTAGCACAATTTTAAGTAGCAAAATTTGATAAATATGCATCCATATTTCAAATATCTATTGAACGAATTTGAGAATAACTTAGCTCCGCTTATAAATTAGATTCTGATGTGTTGTCTGGCGAGAGAATCTCTCCGTTTCACCCCTTTTCAATTATCCATTGGGATTAATTGAATATTTGTGGTATCTTAAGCCTATTAGCAATAAATTTGTCACCCTTTATCACAATTCTTGCTCTATTATAATGTTATTTGATCCTTAAATATTGTTTGTCATGTAATGCCCTCCCGTTCTTAGGATGGCCTCACTTGACAGTATAATTATCCCGTATTGCTCTTTTAGGTCAACAAACATTTAAGTTTGCAATTGCTACCACTTTCCAATATTTGATGCCAATTCATCCTTAAAAAGAATATGTCTCATATCATGAAGCCTCCACAAAATTTTGTTAGCAGTTATAATTTGAATATTACCAACTCCCCCAATGCTCAAGTGTTTATGATAAAAAAGCCCTTTCATTTAATCATACACTTAGGTTCCTCTTCTAGCCAATAATATGCCTCATGCTGTGAGACTTCAACATAGTTCTATTGACATCTTGATGTGAACATCACTAACGTAAAAGATGCTCTAAGGGCTCACTATCAATTTAATATTTCACTTATTCTCAAGCTGAATAATTAATCTATTTATGTGTAGTGAAATGAAATAACACATTTGAATCTAGGATCTAAAATCGATAGGAACATTGGCATTAAGAATTAATGCATGATTAATCTTTTCACTCACAATATTACCATAGTCATCCATCCAATTTGAACTCTATCCACCTTTATTTTGTGGACAGTCTTTTTTTCCATGAGATTAGTCATATAAATCATATATTTTAGTAATCAATTGAATAAAGCCAAAGAAAACATTCAAGCTATGATAGTGACTTTTAAAATTTTGTGCAAGCTCTTCATCATTGCAAATATTATCTATTACCTAAAGCGTTTATATTATACTATGATCATCAAGCTTAGATATTAAGTTCTAATAAAAAGTTAGAGTACAGATAGGATAAATAGATATTCTTTTGTAGTTAAAATTGAGCTGTATTTGAAAAAGAAAATATCGGTGACTTAAATAAAATTTGTGTTCATAGGCATAAAGAGCCTCAAGATGGCTCCTTTCATTCGTCAATTAGATACATTATCATCGTCGTCTATTAGAAAACCATCGTTGCCTGATAAATAACCATCGTTGATTAACTACCTGGCCCATTGTAGTTCAGGCGATTCAATCAAACAAACATAAGAGGAATGAGGATGCTCGATCATTTTCGACCAGTTGAAGGCTTCAAGCCACGATCTAAGTTTGTTGCCAATAAAACTGAGAATGTTATGAGATAATTCAAAATAAGGATCGAACTAACCCCTCTCAAAATCTATAAATAAACAATTTATTTTATTTCATATAATAAACTTAAATTCAAATGGTTACCAAGAGCAGAACTAGGTTATGTCCAATTGCCCATCCTGAAATTTGAGATTTTTCTATATAAGTAATAAAACTTAATAATTTTTTCTTATATTGTTGTGCAAGCTCTTCATCATTGCAAATATTATCTATTACCTAAAGTATTTATATTATACTATGACCATCAAGCTTAGCTATTAAGTTCACAAAAAAAGTTAGAACATAGATAGGATAAATAGATATTATTTTGTAGTTAAAATTGTGCAGCATTTGAAAAAGAAAGATCTATAATTTAAAAAAAGTTCATGCTCATAGGCATGAAGAGCTTCAAGATGGCTCCTTTCAATTGTCCATTAGATAAATTATCATTGTCGTCTACTAGAGAACCATCGTCGTCTAATAAACAACCATCGTTGATTAGCTACATGGCCCATTGTAGTTCAGGTGGTTCAATCAAACTAACCTAGGAGGGACAAGGATGTTCGATCATTTTCAACCAGTACAATCTAGTTCTATTGCTGATTAAAATAAGGATGTTATGAGATAATTCAAAATAAGGATCAAACTACCCCTCTCAAAATCTATAAATAAACAATTTTTTTATTTCATATATAATAAACTATGAGTGCTCATAAATCATAGAGAATTTTGAAGTCCTTATAGCTTTTAAAGTTGTTAGACAACCATTTCAATGGTTACCAAGGGCAGAATCAAAGTTGTTAGACAACCATTTCAATGGTTACCAAGGACAGAATCAGGTTATGTCCAATTGCCCATCCTGAAATTTGAGATCTCTCTATATAATTAATAAAATTTAATAATTTTTTCTTATGTAGTTTAAATAATTCAATAATTTTGCCCCCCCCCCACACACACACACCCTCGAAATATATTTTTGTCCAATACTTTCACAAAATTAAATATTTTGTAATTTTGCCCACCCAAAAAAATAAAATTGGTTCTGCCTCTGAATTGGCCACGGACTCGGCTGACATCTTTTCACTAATATTCCCCAAGTTCATCATTGATCAATGTCTGACATAAATATCTTACTCTCAAGCATGTTATCTCCACCCAACAACCAATCAATTTCCCCTATCCAACTTTTTTCGAATAATGCTTTCCAACATCCTACTTTTAATGGCAGTCATTGCCTTATGTCCGCCAACCAACATTCAACTTTGAGCACCAATTTAAAATTCTTTCAGCTTAACAACTTCACTTTGTCGACAACTGTCAAGTGGTCTCTTGTTGTCTGTCAATTTACATTTTTTTTTAAGTCTGCCAATTTACATATACCAAATAATCTCTTGACACCAATCAATACTCCCCTTCACTAACAAAAATAGATCTAACGACAAATATTGTCTTAGTTTCCATACAAACAATGATGCCTTATGTCATACGCCAAGCAACAAATTTCATCAAAATCATCATTCAACATTGGTATATCATCTAACAACAATATCACCACCTTTATAGCTACCTCATATGATCAACTCTAATTGAGATTTATATTTTATTCACATCATCCTTTGCTACAAAGATTGGTGGATCTTTGTAATTTCAAACCATGACAAGTGGATCGATCCAAATTGGGATATGCCATTAATTTTTTTATCTCCACATTTTCAAATAAAAAATTTTTCTTGTGGATATTTTTAACTATATCCTTCTTTATCCATATGTACATGTAGAATTTTCACACTAGCTATGACATAACCTTCATTTTAAGAGATGGGAAAGAAAAAGAGAAAAAGAAATAAAAACAAAGCTATGACATAACCTTCATTTTAAGAGATGGGAAAAAAAAAGAAATAAAAACATAAAATCTCACACACAGAAAGAAAACATGGGAAGATTTATGTGGTTTGGCATTTTGCCTACATCCATAGCAGCACTAAGATCTCACTATATCTCTCTTATGAGGAGCTTAAAAAAAATACAAATAGTTGGGATGTTTTGCCCATTAGTTTCTCCAATTTTACATGCTAAGGTGGATGGAATAGGTTTAGAGGATAAATAATATTAATTTACAATCTAAACATCAAATCTGAACTTTAAGTGTGAAATCATTCAATTTGGTGGCTGCGAAACTTTGACAAAAAAGAAAAGCATGTGGAATTTAACTCCACATTCAATAATCTCCTACTTGGAGTCAAACTTTCATTTTTAAAATACATTAAATGTCATGCTTGAGCATTTCTATTATTGTGCTCCTCCATGTGAATCCGCCAATGCTCCTAGTGAGACACCTCCATTATCATGATTTATGGAGGCCGATGGAGGTCATATATAACCTCAGTGTTGAAATGGTCACTATCTTGATTAGCATGTCTGCGGAATTTCTTTTTCCATGAATCTTCTCTAACCATAGAGTGCCATCATCAATCAGCCCTCTAATATGATAATCTTGTAGTTGTATGTTTTTTATCCTAATATGAAAAAATAGATTCTTTGCTAGTTGGATGGCGCTCTAAATGTCACCAAAGAGAGTGTCATCAACTTACTTTCCTAATTCCCGCGTCTGACACTATCATATACTCAGCTTTACTGGTGGATAGGGAGACACT